AACCAGGTTTCAATGTAATCCCGTGGCCTCCAGGCAACATCTGGAAGGACACGCGACTTTTGGGAGTTCTCACTGCCAGTGCTGGGACTGCACACCTGGAATGCCAAGGCCAAAACATTTCTGAGGTCCCAAGAGCAACCCTGGAGAAGGGCTTTAGCGGGTGTTCGGCGGGGGGGCTGCAGACTAGCAGCACCGAGATGCAATAGATCCACATCTCACTGGAGCATCCTACTAAGACAGCCAAAACTGGCCATCAAGCTGAACTGCCTGGCGAGAGGACCACGGAGCCCGCCACGGCTTCCTCTGGGCTCCTCCTGCCCCAGGGGGAAGGCCTGCCTCTTCTCCGTGTTTGGAGGGTTCTGGCCAAGCCACAGGGCTGCGTCCTTAAAGCTGAGGGCATTCTGAGCAGGATAAATGTGGACCACACGCGAGCACGCCAGTCCAGCACCGCAGAGCGCTAATATGCAATTAACTGTTCACATACTCTGAAAGGAGCCTTTCCATTAAAGACACCGGCAATTATTCCTCAGAAGAAAGGCCAGGTGGCACAGTCAAACATTGTATTATTACATTAATGGGCAGATTCGTGGGTCTGAAGCGCCTAAATCATTTGGGTCCCAGCCGAAGTCAGAGCTAAGGAAAAAAGGGAATCCCAGGTGCCTATGAAAAGCCTTTCATTATTGCCCAACGCGTTGCGGAAATGCTGGTTTCCTTCACTGGGGCTGCTTATCTTCCTTTTGATGTGGCCGGCATCCTGGGGCTGGCATTGTGCAGAACTGTCCTAACGCATTCTCTCTCTTTTTGAAAAATCCTTCTATTTAGTCAGCTGCAGGGTTTGAGGAGCAGCGCTCAGGTGAGTCAGACCCAAGGAGAAGACAATCTCCCTGACCTTTCCTTATTGCTTTTCCAATTTAGCTCCACTGCCTGACAGGAACGTCAGCAAAAGCAGCGCCCGCCAGTCAGAATGAGGCCGATGCCATTTCCAAAGTCAAAGGGATTTGCTCAGCAAACAGTTTGCGTATTTAACAGGCTTCACATGTCTATGATACAATCCAGTTTGGAAATGCATTTTTCTTCAGTGGTGAGGCTCCCAAGTCTGAAAGGATCTGTGAGATGCATTATTTCCCACCATCACCCGCCCCCATATTGTCTAGTGCAGCCAAATTTCAAAGAGAAACTGGTACACCCTTTCCTTTGGCTGGTTTTCCAACTCCAGAGCACCTCTGCTGGCCATTTCTAGCCAGGGTTCTCCCTACCATTAGAGAGAACGACGTGCTTGCACCAGGTGGCGGGAACTGGGATGCAGTGCTAAAAACTCCAGGGCGGTTTCCCCCAAACCGCTCAACTGTTCCCTGCCATGTGATGCCACCACCATGGGTGCCCCCTCACCTCTTCTGGGCCCCCTAACCTAACCTGCTGCCCTGTTGAAAGATACCATTCCATTGCTAAAGTTGAAGTAAGAACGCGCTGCCAGTCCAGTGACCTTGAGACAGGAAACCATCTTATCCTCTGGCTTGGGCACCAAAATGCCCTGGCTGGGCCTTCTTATTTTTTCATGCACTTATAAATGACACTGCTATACCACCCAGGAGAGAGATTTTCCCTGGGTGGCGCATTGGGTCTGAGCTGCCAAAACCAGGGCCTGCGTCTCTAGCCGCTAGGCCTTGCTTGGCAGAGGTGGAAGACGCTGCCCCAGAGTTACCTCTTGCTTAGCTTTCCAGAGGCCCTGGAAGAGGACTAAACATGCCGCCGTGCTTGGCCTGGGATCCCACCTTATCGGACCAGTTAATGAGCTTCTGCTTGGAGTCGTGATTAGCTTAACGAGCTCATGCCTTGTTCTGTGAGTAGTTAATTGGGCTATTTAGGGTATGTTATGAGAAGCCTTGCTGACATTGATGGAAAGCCTCAGGTGTTACGACTTGCGGCCGGCTAACGAGGATGGGAACCTTCAGGTCCCACAGAATCTGATGACGGGAAGCTGCATATAGCTGCGCAGGTGCGCGTTGCCTGGGCCCTGCCCCAGTTCCGCAGCCATCCCCTTCCCGGCAAGCCGTCTGCAGAGGCTGGCCATTTTCCCTTGGGCAGGGCTGCTCAGACAGCAAGCGCCCTGACCCTCTGGGCCAGCTGATTGGAGCCACACACCCGGCCCTGTAAGCGTCTCCTTGCCTGCTAACCCCCTCGTGATGCTCACTTCTGGAGTCATTTGCTCGCCTTTTCAATAAAGCCTTCTCGTATGTAAATCTGAACTGAGCTGTTGAGTTCTTGGGGCACTCGAACCTGCAGCCTGAAGTCGGGGCAGAACAGGTGGCGAAACGTAAGCATACTTTATCGGCATAATCACAGTATGGAACACAGCCATAAAACTGAACTTGGACACCCCAAAATCAGGGCGGTGTTGGACTCGGACCCAGATCGTTTGCACCAGCCTCTCCACCTCTTCTCGACCAGGTCCCCTGACTCTCTTCCCCGTCCGTGACACTTGGCTGAGCTACCATTCTCCAGGGCAGGGCTGATGCTGTGTGCTGGTCTAAAAGAGGAGTCCCAGCAGCAAAGCAGGCCACCAGACCCAGCACCCTGGAGAGGACTGAGAGAGCCACTCATCCCAAGTGGAAGCATTTGTAGGATGCATTCAGAATCCCTTTCTCAGACACCACAAAGTGGAAGGGACAGGCCTCCAACTTGGGGCCCAGGATTCCTCCATTGGGGGGGGGGGCAACTTGTGCCCTTGGCCCACAACTTCCATGACCCCCAGCCTTCGCTATGCTGGCCAGGAGGGATTGCAGTTGTAGGGCTCAGCATCCTGAATGCCACAACCTCCCTCCCTCCCTCCCTCCCTCCCTCCCAGAGTTACGCCAGAGCAGTTCTTCTCATCCACTTAATTATGCGAAGATGAAAGCAAGTGAATCCAGCTTTACCTTAGAAGAACAAAAGAAACAGGCGTTGCTAGCTTTCTATAGAATCGGATCATGAATGCAAAATGACCCCATTGAAAGTTGATTGCAGACCAATCACTAATGCTCTTCCCTTCCCCACAACCAAAATCCCCCAAACTAAACCCTCCAGGCAGTTCCCGATTTCTCAGAGCCTTTCTCGAGTTTTCCTTCCCCATCAGACATCCCCCCATCCTCCTGCTCTTAGAAAGGCTCTCGCTTTCCCTTATTTCAGGAACTGCCCAGCATCCTTCCTCCTTCCCTGGACTTCTTTTGTCCTTGGTGTTTTAATCTCCACATCTCCCCACACTTCATCCAAATCAGAGCGTACTTCCAGATCCTTCTGAGGCTCTTCTGCAGAGCTATCCGTCCGATAACCCCTGCGCGGTGTGGTGTGCTACGCACGAGGAGCCAAGCCCTGGGAGAGCTGTCCTTCCCCACCAGATACTTCTCCCTTCCCTACAGCTGTGGGCCGAGGGCTTCAGGAGAGTAGGTCCTTGCTCCTGCTGCTGCGCTGTAGAGCTCCATGGCAGAACCTCCACGGCTCGCATGCAACGGTTCAGTTCCCGGTGCCTCCAGGTGGTGCAGAGAAGTCCTCTGCCTGAAACCTCAGAGGGCTGCTCTGAATTGTTAGCAACACTGAGCCACATGAACTGGGAGATCCAAGGGCGGAACACCTTGCAGGCCTGCATGGGCTGCTGAGGTGCCTAGAGACCAGCAGAGCGTGCTCTGGCCGGGACAACGCTCCGTGTGGGTTGTTGCTGCTCCTGGGATCCGCTGTATTTCCACTGTTTAGTCTACAGGTGGAATTACTGGTGGAACATTTAATCTTTGTGTATATTTATTGTGGTGAGGCTGTTTTGATTAGGTCCTTCCTATTTATATGGCCACTTAAGCCTGGCTACATGACCAGTGAATTATCTTGGAGGTCAGCAATGCTTTCCTGATGTTCTGAGCCACGTGAGGCAAGGTCTGCCACGGAAAAGGAGCATTAGCAGAAATGCTAACTCTGGAGAGGATCCAAGATCCTGGCTTCTAGCCACCCCTTTCCTTCCCATCCCCAAGTGAAACCTGCAACATTCTGTTGCTCAACATTCTACCAGAGTCATTCTTGTTGGGGTACTTGAGTTTTTATCTTTTTCCTTCCCTTCCCTTTTAACTTATGCATGAATTTGCATCTGCTTAACTACAGAAAGTTCTCCAAGTAGGCAGAAAGCGTCCACTTCTTCTTCAATAGCACTGCCTCACATCCAAACTGACAAGAATACCACCACCCAAGTTGAATATTAACCAGAACAAAAAATAATGATCCTATGTTTGCGCGCGTGCACACACACACACACAGCCCCCACAAAAAAGCAACCCCCCCAAAAAAACATGGTGCAGTGCATTTCCAGTCTTAGATAATCTGCATTATCAAGAAAAACATCTGTTACACAGAAGCTGATCTCATGAAACACTGGGGGTGGTTTGGGTTTTTTTTTGTGGATTATAGATTACAGAAGAAAAACATAAAAAGAGCTTTCCATATTTTTGAGCATCTTGACATGCCAGGGAATATAAAATGACAACGCTTGTCGCTCCAGAGAGAGAAGCATAGACATGGCCCTGTTTGCCTTATGCGGGGATAGGAGGCTGCAGAAAGTGAAGAAAGCATTTTGAAATACACCAGGCCACTCACATGGAAGGACAGAGGTCCCATAAGGGCCAAACGTTGTGCCAGGTTCTACTCAGGAATCTGATTTTAACAGCTGGCGTAAAGCAAAATTGACTGGATAGCAGGACCACAGCCTAACCGATCTCATAAGGTTGTTGTTAGGATAAGACGGAGAGGAGAAGGATTGTCTAAATTCCCTTTAGTTCCTTGGAAGGAAAAAAGGTAGGATGCCAATGCAGGAAAGTGTTGAGGGGAGAGAAAGTGAGAGGGGTAGAACATTGAGGGGAAGGCACAGAAAAGATGCTTGCAGACACCATGTTGCTTCCCGCTGCTTTAACTGGATTATTTGGAAGAGGAAAGTAGTCATAATGTTTTTGCTGACACTTCCAGAAGCACAGAAAAGGTGACATTACCTTGCATTGTCTCTTCCGTGTGACTTCAAGAAGTTCATGTCTCGATATCGGGAAAGGAATGCAACCAGCTGGTCATTTGTCCTGCAAAACAATTTGAATTTTTAAATCTTTTTTTACAAAAGAATATAACCTTGGCCACAAACATCAGACAAATTATTAGAAAAAGACAAGTTCAGACTTGGAAAACACCATTTGGTTAGTCTCCGAGGGCAACTAAGAAAAGTCCATGGAAAGCTTTGCTTCCTGAAAGAAATTATTTAGATCAGATGCACTTCTTCATTTGCTCAAACATCAGAACTGCTTCCCCTTACATGAACATAATCTGTCACACAGCAGAAAGCACCATTTTATTCTCTCTTATGAACCTGCCCAGACCCTAAGAACTTCCAGGAAGGCCCTTAGGGCCCTTCACAGGCATGCTTGGTGGAAATGGAGGAGAGAGCTTCCTTGGTGACTGTCCCAGGCTCTGGAAGTTCTGCCCCAGGGAAGTTCAGCTGGAGCTCTCCAAGGGGTTTTCGGAGATAGACCAAAATCTTTCTGTTCCAGCAGGCCTTTGGGAATTGACTGGACCTCTGAGACTGCGCTGGATTATTTCTACTTTGCATAATTTTAGCATTTTCAAGTTGGTATTTTATATAATTTTAACACTCCATTAATATAATTATCATTTTAACTTTTGCATATTTCTAGTCATGTATATGTTTTTAATGTCATAAGCAGTCTTGGACCTCAGTACTCGGAACAGGTGGAAATAAATCCATAAAATAACAAATGCAATAAGTACTACCATAATAACATAACTGTATTTGGAAATTCATTAGGGGTTAATGCAAACAGATCTGCAGTTCTTGAAGATACTTCTCTGATCATGTTTTTATTTCATATATGAAATATAGTTGAACAGTGTATTTTGCTCTTCGTTTTTTAAAAATTGAATTACTCCTCCTGCTTCTAGCTTCGTGCAAAGCACATGTAAATACCACACACAACACGCAAAGGAAGCACACGTGTAAAATCTTTCGCACTCCTTCAGAGTACTCGGAAAAGGCAAATAGGAAGGGAGCACATAAAAGAGTATTTTAAAACCAGCATGCACGAAGTGGAGGCTTGTAACACATGAAGACTAACGGAAGAATTGTGGTACCCAGAAATGAGGATTAATTTTCAAGACACCACGTTGTGCTCTCTCTCTCTCTCTCTCTCTCTCTCTCTCTCTCTCTCTCTCTCTCTCTCTCTGTGTGTGTGTGTGTGTGTGTGTGTGTCTGTCTGTCTTTGTCTCTCTTTCTCACACACACTTTAGTTCTTCTCCGTTTGTGCTCTCTCTCTGGAATTTAAATATCAACCCTCTCTCTATCAGCACTGTCAGCAAAACTAAGAGTAAAATATAGAAAGCCCAAGCAGTGAGTGCTGAGCAGCTGGTAGCCGAAGTGGTGCCAAAGGTAACCTTGAGGGAAGTCTCAGCGATGTGGTTTGCAGAAGTCCAAAAAAACTGCTTTTAAATAACCCTTAAATCTAACGAATGGCTCTTTTCTCCAGAGAATTCACTAATCTCTGAGTTTTTTCTGTAGCTGCAAGATGCTGACTGTCATTTGGGGGGAAACAAATGGAAAACTGAGGGTGTTGAGACGAATGAACTCCTCTAAGCGCGAACATCTTACAGTATCCAGGGAAAAAGAAGGGCTGACCAGACAGAAGCACTCCTGATCATTTCTGAGGACAAACAGCAACGTTGGCTTCACGTCTCACTGGTTCAGCTCCGGAACCAGATGTTAAGCATGGTGACAGGCCCATTTGCTGTGCTGCAGGAGAAGCTTTGTGTTTCGAGAGTGCTGGTGCAGAGGCGAAAGTTAGGAAAGCTGCGGACAGTCCCATGGCATGCCGTTTTCAAGAGTGGCGGGGGCCCCCTTTTCAAGAGGGTACCCACGGAGTAGAAATGATTCACACTTGAAGCGGAGCAGGCAGCCTAGAATAATCCAGGGCGACTCTATCAAAACAGCCAGCCTGCTTGGGAGCTCCCATTTACAAAACTCTCCGGCCATCTGAAGCAGCAGTTCATTATTGTGCTGATGAATAACCAACGAGTTAACCATTGACTGAGTCCAGACCAGTTGGAACATCTGTCTATCAATCACCCTAAATGGCCAGATTGCAGCGGCCTGGGCCCTCCCTTTGATCCACGTTCAGGCAGACTTGCAAGGCCGCTAGGGTCAGAATTTGTATCTCAATTTGGCATCATACATATCTATATATCTATATCTATCTATTTCCCCCTCCGTCGTAAAGCCATGCCAATTTTCACATTTGCTGCTTCACTGGCTCGCCATCTTATGTGGGATGAATAGACACTTAGGGAATTTACTTAGCCATCTTTCCACATGAAAAGGCCTCAATGCTTGACATCTTGGGGTACATTTCTAGGCAAATGCCAGCTAGCTAAGACGATCTTTTCAGAGATTATCTTCACTTTTCTCCTTTGGCTTCAACCAAGAATAAATTTAAGAGCTTCTGGTTAATGGAAAACACACACACAGAGCTCTTTCCCCAGTTGTGTTAGCAGTTAGTGTGTTAGTCGGCAGGTCCAGAGTGTTCTCTAATTTGTGTTGTTATGTGCCGTCAAGTTGTCTCTGACATACGGGGACCATATGACGGAGCGAGGGCCGTCCAACAAGTCCCGTCCTTGACAGCAGCAGGGCTGTGGAATCGGTACATAAAACTTTTGACTCCAACCCAAATCCTCAATTTATGGTACCTTTGTCTCCTTTATTTAAGTATCAATATAGGAAATAAATGTACTAATTATTTTTCCTATATGGATTGAAAGCACTCAGTCTACAAACTGCTGCTCTTGATGCTCTTGTAGGTGCATTTTTATCAGAACCTCAGAAACAACTAATTTTGGCATCACATGCCTTTTCACAAGCATCACCTTCTGTAATGCATAAACACACATAATATTTCCCATCTGTTGTCGCTGTAAAGCATTCAAAAACAGCTGACTTTGTTGACGCTTCTTTTGCCATTGTGAATTTTTTCTTGGGGCGCTGCTTTCACTAATATATGAAATTAAAATATATCCTGAAAATATAACCTGAAAAAATAGACTACTCAAATTATTATCTGTGATATAGTAAATTTTAACATATTATTTATTTTACAATTTAAATTTGTTAGGAAGAGCCAGAATCTTTTTGGTGATTCTGACTCCAGTAACCCAAGAATTGTTTCTGACTGATTCCACAGGGCTACTTGGCTCTTGTAAATGCAAGACTGTGCTTTCCTTTATGGAGTTGATACATCCATCTCGTAAGTGCCTTTTCTAATTATAATGCTACTGAATTAAAAACGCATGTTGCTTGAAACATCTTTTCTACTTAACTGGTTCAGAGTTTTCTTGGCTGTTCAGTATGTGGATACCACTTGTCTCGCACATCCCAGCGTACAGCAGAAGTGCAGAACCTCAAGACCAGGGCCGGCCCGTGGGCTCTCCAGGTGGCCCCGCCCCTTTCCACTGGCCCCGCCCCTTTCCTTCAACCACCAACCCTCTGCACACTTTCCCACCATTCCAAAAGGTTGAACTGACCCTCTTCAGGCTTAGTCACTGGCAGGGGAAGCTTTTCGCTAAAATAAGTTGGCCTACTTTCCATTCTGGCCTGCCCTTTTCCTTTGGCCCTGCCACCATGGGACAAGTCTCAGGAGGGACGGAGGTGAGGCCAGTCGGCCTAAAAATAGCCTGACTTGAAGCTCTGGCTGATGTTGACCAGATTTGGGGGTATCTGCTAGAGATGTATCAAAACACCCTGGATTACTTGTAAAGAACTGGGTCACAAGCTCGCTACAGCAACAGTTGGGTCAAGGTTTGTTGGGAAAACAAAAAATGATATAAAAACAGAAGAAAAGGGACCAGCACCAGGGCTGGCCCCGGATTGCTGAGATTCCTGATTATTGCTCTTTGCTGGTTCACTTCCGAGCATCACTGCCTTGCCTCCACCCCTTAAGTCACTGGTGCTAGTAGTGGCAGCGGTAGTGTGACATGTGGCACCACCACAGTCAATTAGCTACCCACAACACCAGGATACAATGCCCCTGCGGGCATTGTGGGGGATTTCAAAATGGTGGCCAGCTTCCTGCACCCAGCTGCCAGGGCGGGTACAAGAGCCAGAACTCACTGCCAGTGGCCCCTGCAGGGGCGCTTGGGAGCTGGCGTCTGCCCGACAGTGCCAGCTGCCGACGCCGCAATGGATGAAAACACGCCCAGGCAGCCCATCCAAGATGTGGGTGAATTTGGGCCACAAGCCAGGACCTGCAGCACTGGCCATCTGCAGAGCTCTGATAAGGGCTGGGGGAACCCTCTCCCAGCTTGGTTCTACTAACTGCACAAAGCCCACCCAGCAAAATGCATTTCTGATACTCTTTGCAGTGCAGGAGTGACACCACTTGGATGAGACACGGATACCCACCCGGAGAAACTGATGTCAGAAATGGACATGCTATTGTTTAGAGGTGGCACACCTGACTGTGAAATTCACCATGGGGCCAGGAGCAGGGAAACCGTATGCGAGTAGAAAAGGGCTGGGATTGTGTTATGGCTCTGAACAACAGACAGGAAAACACTTGGTGCATATTCTGGATAAACACCTGAAGCTCCAGGGCCTGCTGCAGGCTCATCTGGGCTTCAGCAGAGGGTTTCGAGTCTTTTAAACTGGGCCAAAAAAATCTCACGGAAAACAACAACGCACAACGAAGACTTCTTTGGCCAGACTGCTTGTGCACATGCGTGTCCCTGGCGTGGGGCTTGCTGAGGTACCCTGGGGTTTGTATGTGGAGGTGTAATTACACTGGAGAAAAAATGGATCAGAGAAACGTAGGGTTAGCTAGTTGTGTGGTGTCCGAGCTAACGCAACTTGACCATGTGTATGGTGGATGGGAGCTAAGAATCCAGACTTTTGGAAGGCTCTGGATTGGGGAAGGCTGGATTGGAGTGTTGGACAAGATCCAGGGAAACCCAGATCCCATCGCTGCTCAGTCAGGAAGTTCATGGTGATCTTGGCCCCATGTGTGTGGACGCATGAAGCGGGTACATC